TAATAATCCATTTAATATAGAAATTGACAAAATTCTCCTTAATGCTTATATTAATGATCATAAAGAGCGCGCAAAATTACTCTACTCAAAATTAAATGAGGACTTAATAAAAGAAAAGGAAAATTGTATTGAAAAAATTAACAAAAATCGCGATAACCCCGAGTTGTTTAAACAAAATCAAGATGTATTCATCAAACAACATAAAATACAGAAACAAGCAAATAAATTCAACAAATTAACAAAAATAAAAGATATCAACACTCAAAACAAAACAATAAGTACAGAACGTCAATCTAAAATTCATATGAATAACCTTAAACGCCCACTAAGAAAAGTATATTCTTTTGACGATTAATTATTATTTCAGATTGCCTGGAATCATGGGATTACAGGATATAATTACACTGCGAAATCTTCAAAATAATCCCGGCCTATTACCAGTGAAACTTAACACCGCAAAAGTAACTGAATACTATAATTCTGTCATATATTATTATGACCTAAATTTTAATAATTAATAAATTCAAAAAACTAAAATTTAAATCGGAACATATGATTGAATGTATTAAGAAAAATAGCGAATTTTTCGAAGACATCCAATTACATTAAAATTTTAAAATTCACAGAAAATAAATTAAACAACAAAATAATTGAACTATTACCGCATTCACAAAGGATTAAAAGAGGCCTAATTAATGGTCTTCGATCAATATTTAAATCAATCAAACTTTCAAATACTATTAAAACACAAAATTCACTAGCAATCTCTTCAATTGACAATTTTAATTCTACCATTTAACAAATTAACTATAATGAAAATTTACTCGAAGCAAGAATAAAAACAATAGAAATTATCGTTCAAAATCAAGCTTATTCGCTCGGGTAGTATTTTTATCAAAGATATCCTAATTCAAATTTTAATAATTAATAATAAACTCAATTTTACAACATATTGAAAATTCAATTTCTTTCGCAGAAATTGGTATTATGCTCCCTAGTATTATAAAAACTTCTGAACTATATAAAATTCTAGAAAATATATATAAAAGCCTTGAGAAAAATCAAATACCCATTGAATTAAATTTAAATAAAACATTCCTTTTTGAAAACCTTATAAAAATATCCTGTTATATATTTAACAACAAAATTAGTTATATTTTACAAATACCTATAATGTCTCCAATTGAACTAAATTTAATTCATTTTTATCCAATACCAATAATGAGTGAGAGTCAGTTTAAGGTGATTATTCCAGAAAATAAATTTGTTATAAAAAACGAATTATACTTTGCATTAATGAGCGACACATAAGAATAAGGATCCCGAGTACCTTTAAAGAAGTCCTGAAGCATACCATACAAATCACATTCCTTATATTACTACCTCTTGTACAAAGATAAGTGTGTTTTTAAGTAAATCATCTTAAATTTGAATTAAGTAAAACTATATGAAATAGAATTTGTTACTACCTTATCTAAAACTTGGTTTAAATATAATTTGTTAGTGGTTAGTGATTTTCTATATTTTCATCACTAATCTAAACTCAAGTATAGTAAGTTTTAAATATAGTGGTGCCCAACTTCTTTTTTAAGGTAATTCAAGTTATTTAATAACCTGATTCACGCCCAAAATCAATAGAGCTTAAATACACTATAACAAATAAATAAAATATCAAGTATCATGTTACAAAATAGACTGCTTCTTTCGCCAACTTGCCATCTATATTTTAGTACAAACTCTTTTAAGAATCATGACTAAACAATTAAAAGTCCCGTTTCATTGATATTGTAATCCCCTCGGTAAACCCTATGTTAATTTTCTGGACGTCCTCTAAAATGTGTAAGAATTTTGAGACATTTGTTTTGTAAAAAACTTGGGTATTTAATGCTGACATCGCTGCTGGTTTTCTCAAAATTTTTTGAGATGAGACTTTCTAAAACTGGCAACTCAATCTTTCACAGCTGATTTGTTTTTAATACTGATAGGAATAAGTTAATAAGCAAGGATACATAGGTCGGCTAGATAAATTCAAAAAAAGCGTATCTTATGTCCAAAAAGTCATTTATGAGCTACAGTTCTTACTCTTTAGTGAAAACGGTACGAAAATGCCGTAGAAATTTTTTGTTATAAGTAGTTTGCTGATTTTTCTCTAGAACATGGCGTTTTAGAGTGTTCCTTAGCACATTAAATTGTTTAGCAGCCGTTTGCCAAGCTATATCATCTATTTTTACTGTGACCATAGTTCGTTGTATTGCCTTGGAGTCCCAAGTCTGCTTTTGGCTGTTATTTTGGTATTTGGACACTATAGCTGCATGTAAAATTAAAATCCATTATGTTTATGCCAAAAATAGTGATAACAAATACCAAATTAAGCTTGAATTTGTTAAAATTGAATAAAATGACATAATAATATTTAAAAACCACAGAATATATCTGTAGCTTGGTTCTAAAAGGGCCAATGTCATTTTTTATTGTTTGGGCTTTTATACACTGGTACACTACATTTATTTAAAACTTTATTAAGGTAAAACGGCCAATGTCTATCTTCTTCGGTTTAAAAGATACCAAAAAATAGGGCCAAAGTTAATATTTGAGAATAAAAATACTTTAATATAAAAGGGTCAATCTTAACATTGGCCTTTTTCATTATTATTTCTTACTTTCTTACGCTCTAACTCTAACCGGCCAAAGTTGACAATGGCCCCTTTAAAATAATGCGCACCGATTTGAAAATTAGTTCTATTTCATACAGCAGTGAAACAGGTGGTTGTTTTGCTCGTATTATTATGTTTTAAAGAAAGTTGTAATATTAATCAAACAGTTTGTCTTTGTTTAGTATTTTATAATAATAATTTGTTAACTATGTTAAAAGTGTCAGAACGTTCGAAAAAACTTGTGAACAACTGGTAAATAGTGTTATAAGAAATTAAGAAACAACAAATATAAAGAACGATTGATTTTGAATATTCTATTTATCTATCAATCAAAGCGCAGAGAAAGATAACCCAAAGCAAACCACTTCTATTGATGTGTGTCCAGGAATGTTTCCACTAAGTAAACAACCTCTACAAGAAATTAATTGGAAAGATAATGTAAGTTAAGAAATATACGGAGCTAAAACCGGTGGTCGTCAACCATGGTGCCAGTACAAGTCGTACATTAAGTAATAACGGACACTTACATTGTACTTGGAAAAAATTATTTGGTTTTCTGTTATAGGAAATTTACCAGGTAATAAACCTGCTAAACATATTATGCAAGAAAATGACAGCGACGATAATGTAAGCGTAAAGGTATATACAGAGCTAAAACCGGCGGTTCTCAACCATGGTGCCAGTACATGTCATACATTAAGTAATAACGGACGCCTACATTGTACTTGCAAAAAATATTAATTGGTTTTTTGTTAAAGGAAATTCAGTAGATAGTAAACCTACTCTAGAAGAAGCTGCATAACGTAATGAAGATGATGACGAACTGTAATTAGAATTTGAAGATTTTGAGATAAGCTTCGACGACTATAATCCTGGTAAAGATATGGAAAATCATTCTGATTCCGACGATAGCAGCAAACCATATAACTCTTAAACCTTAAAACACGTAACAGCTAATTCCGCAAATAAAACCCGAAACAAAAGAAGAGGAAGGAAAAAAATACAAGAAGGTCAAGAATCACGAAAAAGAAAGAAAAATCCTAAGAGTTGGGAAAAAAAACAATAGAAGGATGTTAAAAACCTAAAGAAAGTCTTACGTTACAAAAAGCGGAAAAGTGGTGGCTGAAAAATCTCTAAAAGAGGTGTGTAAATGCATAAAAAAATATTATGAACAATTATCAGACGACATACGGTTGGTGATTTTTAAAAACTTTTATAGCCCATTGGAGTCCGGTCAAAATCAATTGTTAGCTAATAATGTGGAAGAAAGTAAAAATACTACAAAGAGTACGAAAAATTCAACCAAATAAAACAATATGACGAAAGTACACAGTCTTACTTTTTATTCCAAAATCAAAATAGAATTAAAGTTTGTCAGACTTTATTTCGTAATACTTTAAACGTGTCGCTAAAAAAAGTAAGAATTATATTAGAAAAAAAGAACATCAGCTGCAATTTGTACATAAAATGGTAGGGGAAAGCATTTAAACCATCCAAAAATTCCAGAAGCAGATAAGGATTTTATGAGGGAGCATATACAGATATTCTCAACTTTCCAGAGTCACTATTCCAGAGAACATACAAAAAAGAATTAGCTCTTCCGATTTATCTATTGCCAATTTGGATAGACTGTACTGCTAACATTGCTTACAAAATAATAGGAAACCCAGAAACCAATTCCAATACAGAAACATTTTTGTCGAAGAAATTAATCTGTTATTTAAAAAAACCATAAAATGACACATGTGCCACATGTGATAGGTTAAACCACCTCATAAAGTCCGCTAAAGACGAAACAGGAAGACAAAGAGAGTTGCAAAACATATCACAATCGTGTTGTTATTAGCTTTGTTTTGCAGAAATGTCTGCCCAATCCTTATCTTAAGACCAGCATCTTATTTTACAAAACACAATTGTGGACTCTAAATCTGACAATTTACCAAACCCAGGGTATTTCAAATTCTGCACTTTGTTATAAGTGGAATGAAACAATTGCTCGTTGAGGTGGTCAGGAATGGGCATCCTCTTTATATAAGTACATCAACAGTCTGCCTCCAAATGTAGAAGAAATCATTATGTATAGTGATTGCTGTCCGGGTCAAAATAAAAACATTGATTTCCGTTATGAATTTGGTCATCATAGAACAACTCCAAAAGAAAGGACGGCGTCTAATAATCCACCATAAGTTTCTTGTTCCAGGGCATACATATATGAAGGGTGATACCATCCATGCAGCAATTGAAAAAGTAAAAAAAAAATACGACAGATAATATAGACATACCTAGAGACTGGGCAAATTTAATTCGATCAATACCTAGAAAAAAGATAACATTTTTGTGTATGAAATGGATCTGAAAGATTTTTTAAACTTTAAAGTTTTGCTCTCGGGTAAGTTCCAACATACAAAGACCAACACTCTAGGTGAAAAAGTAAAGTGGTCTTCTATTAGAGAAATAATGTATTCTGCTGATTCATTAGGCGAATTGCACTACCGATTTTTGTTTCATGAAGATTTTAAATCTATAAGCATCTTAAGAAAAAGGACAAGGAAATCTGATGTAATACACCTAATGCCTATTTCCAGCACATTTTTAGGAATACCTGCCTATACAATTCAACACCTAAGAGATTTGATGCCTTACGTTGATAAAGCTAGTCGACCCTATTACATGCAATTTTTGAGCACGATTACCACATCTACGTCAACAACTGATAATTCTCTTTGGGATACTGAAGACAAAACCTGTCAAGAGGAAGAAACTTTTTAGTTTATTATATATTATTTTTTTGTCTGGCACAGCCAAATAAAATACATTTATATTTTATAAGTACTATATCCTTATTATTTTTGTTAAAATAATAAATCTTTGTAACACTAAAAATGGCGTGTTGTTTTCCAACCTAAAAGGCCAATGTCGGGTAAAACTCTACTTTTTTGCCTATCAAAAAGGCCAATGTAATTTTTTTTTGGAAAATCACACTTCAGTGAAAAATTTGATTAATGTCCAGGGTAAAAGCTACTACTTTAAAAGATATACCAACAAAAAAAAACATAATCGAATAACATACATTTATGAAAAAAGAATTTAGAATAATTAACAATTTTTAAATTGTCATTTCCCACACTTTAGCAATTCCGACATTGGCCCTTTTAGAACCAAGCCACAGATATAAACATCCATTATATTTTTATTTATTATTATTCTTCATGAAAAATACAAAAGATTTTATATCAGGCAAAATGGCTACGTTCGTATTCACATTGCCCTCTTTGACGCCATTAGATATATGCGACCCTACAAACCAAACCAGTAACCCTACTTATTACCTGAATACACACATTTATAGCCTAAATCGTGTTGTTTTAAGGGGTTATGATTAATCGTATATATTTGTCATAATAATGGAATATGCTCACCTTATAACATTACGTTGGCAAACACGCAAAATTTTAGTTACTTTAGAATATTGATTTGGCAACTTGGGGATACATGTGTAAGCGAAAAGAGTGATCAGTCCGCCACTTAGACAACAAAATGGAGAGGACGCGTAAAAAGTATATCAAAAACTCGTAATAGTCTCTGCCGATTATCCGTTGGCCCCCATTACTTTGGTGCTTAACATTTCGGCGACACCAAAGCTTTTTACTGGTATTTATTTATGATTTTTAAATCAAACATTTGATAATTAGTTTGTTACAATGGTTTATTGTGTTGCATATCCGTGTAAAATTTGTAACAAAAAGAAATAACCAGAAATTACGTTTCATAGGTAAATAATAAACATTAATCATTTATACTTTATATATTTTTTTATAATTTTCCTATTATTTGGTTAATATATAGCTTGGTATTTATATTTTGCACATGTCTCACTCCAGACTAATGAATGTTACCTGCCAAGTTTGTTTATTTTACGTTTTTCATTAATTATTTAGCAATTAATAATATTAAGATTCCGAAAATAAATTTTTTTCATTTACGTGTCGTACAATTCTAAATATTAACTTATCAAATATGTATTAATGAATCTACGTTTCATAATAACGAGTTTGTGAATAGACATAATTTTCATTATTACAGCACCGAAAATTAACATGAATTTCGAACTGTAGATCGACAAAACCCATGATAGTTAAACGTTTATAGTGGACTGTTAGGAAGACAGTTGGTGATGCCCTACTTTCTTGATGACCTTAAGATTTTTTTGCACACTTTTGAAAAAAGATTCCTGGAACGTTCTTTTGGACATTAGACAAAAAAGTTTGCTGAAGTTAGATGGTGCTCCCGCCCATTGTTCTCATAATGTCAGGACATATTTAAACCAAACATTTCCTGAAAAATAAAAAGGAAGAAGAGGCCCTACTAATTGTCCCCTAGGTCACTAAACTAACCACTCTAAATTTTTCTTTTGGAGATATTTTAAAAACATGGTTTATCAAACTCAGTCGACCACCGCCGAATATATGAAAACACGCATTGCTATTATTAAATTAGGGATTTTTTGTTAAGTAAAAAATAATTTTAATAAACTATTCAGAATATGCATTGAAAATAATGGAAATTATTTTAAACATTCTGAAATTTTAAATTTACTGACAAATTTTGGAATAGACATTTATTTAATAGCTTTGTTAAAATAATACTATTAGTATATATTTGAAATTTATTGATTCATTGAAACTATTGATACTAGTTTTAAAAATAGTAGAAATGGGTATAGAGAACCTTATAGAACGTTTAATATAAATAAAATGTCTTTCATATAGGTATCATAAAATACAGGATGTTCCATAAAAATTAACGCAGTAATTAAATGAAACATTAAACAATAATTAAACTTCAAATTGCAGACACCCTAAGAAACAATTTGATATTTAATAAATGGTGAAAAAATTTTTACAGAACAAAATTTTTGTACACCCGTATTATAATAATGCACTTATATGCCCGTTTCATAATGATACCCATTATGATACAGATTTTTCATTACGATACAGATTTTTAATCAATAGAAACCTACAATTTTTCAATCAAGCATGCTGTTTGACGTTTGTCCTAGGTTCCTATGTAATTGTTTTAGTTATTGAAACGTCTTAAATTTTCGTAGATAGCTAACTTCGATAATTATATTATCAAAATGTCTGATATCAGCGATATAGAAGACTCCTTCACACATATCGGAGAAAGCAGAAAATGCAGTACAAAATATTTTGTCCCAAAAATCTATGGTAATACCAATACCCGATTAATTACAATTTTGTAGAATTTTTTATAGAAATACGAGTAATTACTGTTATTGTGTTCAATACCAATATAAATATATTTATAGTTCTTGATTATTTATCGGGTGTAGAAAAAATAGCGTATGCAACTCTCATGTAATGGTTAATAATACAGGGTCGTTGCATAATATACTATAAAGGACCCCGCACCTTTTACATTGATTTTGAGTACTGACAGAAATTGTACAAATTTTAGTATGTTATTTTTCAGGGCTTTAGGCGCAACTTTTTTATGGACCTTAAGTAGGCAGCTCTACAGGGTGACCTGTTAGAAGGATTCAAAAGTAAGAAATGCAGAATTATTAGTTTCAAATATATCTCCACCAATCTTTAGTAAGTCTTGTTTTTTCCATGAAACTTATGTCATGTGTTACACTTGTATACAGTTTGTTCAGGCTTACCTACACTTTGCAAAATAAATTAAACAGCGTGTTCAAAAAATTAAGAATATCAGTTACTGAAATATGATGCATTTTACACGTATTACCATAGTTAGAATATGACTTCTGACCATTTTTATTTTTCATTTCATATTAAATAATTTTTATTAGTACAAGGTGTGATAGGACTACATAAACAACTAAGAATTACAAAAACGCATTTAATGAAAAATTGGTATGTCTAAAATATTGTAGAAAGTCTTGAAACGAATTCAGTTTTGCTTGTATTATAATAATAGCTCTGTTTATCTAACCAAGTCCCGTTCTACGCCTACTTAAATGTAGAAATATTTCTACTAACTTTGACTTGAATGAATGACTGAGAAGACATTATTCTAATTGAAAAGCCCTTTCTGATTTTTATATAAAGTACAGTAGTTAACTTATTACTTCTAAATATAATTCTATTATTGTGGATTTATTAGGTTAATTTTAGTTAAATTAAAAAAAAAAAACTTTTACAGTTTTTTCAGTAGTAATTTATTTAAAAACTTCGTAATATGAATATTCATGATATTTAATCCTGGCCAATTTTTATTGTTTATCTATTCCACTCCAATATATACTTTTATCTTGCTATAAATTATTTTATAAGCACATAACATAACTTTTTTTATTCCTTTATTTATTAATCATAATAATTACAAAAGGATTCTATAAGATAAAATATTGGCGAGTGTTAGATTAATTAACAGGTAAATTATCTTGATAGGGTTAACAAGTTGTTATCTTTGCAATTACAGACTACATTAGCTGCGTTTGTTTATTCATATCGGATGCATCTGAGATGTTGTGAATCTTTGATCACATGATTCAAGGTACGTAAATTAGTTGGAGCAGATGCGTTTGATGTGGATAAACAAATGTTTAACAGGTAAAAAATCGGATGTGGATATTCAGTTCATAATTCTATTTTACATTGTGTATCTTCCTCTCCGGTTTTGGGTTGTCATTAAGAACAATTTTAAAAGTTTTTTATTAGGAATTTTTGATAGTAACTAGTTTGTTTGTTAGGAAAATTTCTATGGCGTGCCTTTATTTTTTTTGCAATATATTCTGGCTTTGCGAATAATGTAAAGCACAATTTATTTATAGAGTCCTATAAAATTCAAGAGAATCCCTTTACTAGATATTACTGTACATGTAAGACTGGTTTAAAAACTATATGCATGTGTGCTCATGATTTAAGTGTTTTGTGGTACCTGCAATACGCATGATTCAAAAATTATATAAAGTATCCTTTAAGTGTTTTATTAAGGACTATTTTAAATGCTGTTGAAAGATGAGTCAGATTTTGAAGGTGTGTAAATAGTTGAAGACACAAGTGGATAAGGGCCCTATGTAGCAAAATAATTCTTACGAGATATTTCGTGTTAAAGTTTATTGTTTGACAATTATTCCCTATTACATGGGTCCTTTATCCACTGGCAACTTTTATATTTGATAATATATTTGTCTCGGAAGATATTTTAAGCGAATTTTAGGTAATTTTACAGAAAAACACCATTTAACAAAATGTTACATAGGCCCTTCATCCACTTGTGTCTTCAGTTAATGTATTTAATAAAACATGTTTTTAAAAATGTAGTTTCTTTTATATGGATTTATAATTTAGTGGAAGTATAAAAATCTATGCGACGAAACTGTAATATTTTTGTATTAAATATTATCTGTCTTTCTGTCACACCCTGTTTTATTAATTAATATTATCTAGTATTGAATAAAACCAATAAGTGATCAGAGGTCGGTCCTGTTTTAATTATGGTAATACATGAAAATGCACCTTATTTCAATATTTATGAAGGATTTCTATTAGTTGAATCCCCCACAAATATTAAATACAACCCTAAGGCATGCTCACCAAAATGGACTGTCTCCTGAAGCCGCTGGCTGCAACCATCTCCATGTGGATAATGAATGCATAATATTTTCTTAAAAGAACACTTTATTGTGCACAAACGCTGCAAGAAAACTTTGTTTGTACATATTTACGTTTGTTTTTTACTACTAACTGCTGCTTACATTTTAAAGTACTAGGACTTTA